GGCGGAACCCTCGAATATATATATATATATATATATATATATATAACTTGAGACGTGGTCTAGACCAGTTAGGTGAAAAATTGAAGCTTCCGCCTTTTTTTGGGTACTTCGACAAAAATTTTAAGCAAGGAAGACTCTTTATACTTTTTTTATTCTCTCTAGCTTTCAATGGACTTTGCCATCATCATCAGGAGCTGCAATTACATTGATAACAGTAGCAACAATAGTGTAAAATGAATTTAAATTATCTTAACTTACAGTAAGTAGTATGTGAGGATGTTGCTAATTGTCGTTTACGTTCAGGATGAGGGAAACACCCAGTAACATGGTGAAAGCTGGATAGATGGTACAATGGTCAAAATTATAAAAAAATACACACAGCTGTGTGACAAGAACAAGTTAAAAACAGATTAAAAATTTTTAGAACATGAAAGCATTACATCGTGAAGCCACTTGATGATTGCACAAAATGGTGGGCATGGAATAATGAGTAAGATGAACCTTTTGACAGATGGCCGAAGGTTATCAGTGTCTGTGTACAATGATGGAACGAATTATTTTGTGGGCGTGTGCTACGTTGCCAAATCACTTCCGATGATGTGATTTTCAAAATGTGTTAGGTAAGAAATTGTCAAACCGACCAGAGGCAGTTGAATTGACTATATTATATTAATGGGCAATTAAATTAACAGTTATTATTTAATTGTAAGGAAAAAGTTATTAAAATTTGAATGGAATGAAGTTTATTGGTGGAATAGACCAAGAAACAGATTCCGTTTATGGTTGTGAAGAGTCAAAATTTGGCGAGATGTGTAAGTGCTCCAATTTTTCGCAGTTTAGCAAATATAAGTAAATGACACTCAGTTGCTTAACATCTGTCTTCTTATTGATACAGTTGTCATTCATGAAAATGTGAGACATTTCCAGGAATAAACGTTTGGATAGGTGTTTTTCTTTATCGAGAACTTTAATACTTGTGTAGTTCATAGAGTGCCCTGTTGCGTTAACATGAGATGCTAGAGCACACCTTTCAGGATGAAGCCTAGAATCACTTTTGTGTGATGTAATCCTTCCTTTAAGAGATCTGGAGGTATGACCTATGTATATTTGGTTGCAATTGTTGCAATTGATAGAGTAGACTGTGTTGGTTAAGCCAAGCAGCGGGACTCTTCAAATTGCGTGACCGAATCACAGTGGTGCGCCGAAATTGGACTAGAGCTTGCATTCCAGTCAATGGAAACAATTTTGAACAGCTTTTATAAGTAAGTGAACTGGGATTAGGAGCTTCTTAATGATAGAGTGTTTTCAAGCTTGCTTTCTCTGGACAGACTCTGTATGCTTCAAATCTGTCCTTGATTGGTTTTTTTCTCCATAAACCACTATTGCCCAATTACAAGTTCCTTATTAATAGACGTCCAAAGGCCTTTTCTGCATATGGAGAAAACCTCTCATTCGTGTGACAACTTTTCCGAGTAGATTTTTTTTTGATGCCCCTCATAAATCGAGAAGTTTTCAGGCGTCAACCGAAAAGCAATTTTCTATACAAATTACATATTTTTTCTCGCGTTGAAGTGACAAAAAAGACGTTGGTAACATCATTAAAGTTGATCATTTTTGCATTTCAATTTTCAATCGCCTATCCACCCTTCGAGACAAGCATTTCCCAGAACATGAATCCTGCGACTACCACTATATAGTTTTTGAAAATCGGTCCAGTAAAGGCGGACAAAAAGGTCAAAAACGAAAAAAAAAATTCAAATCGCTCAAACTCGGTTTTAGACGTTTCAGATGATGCTGATCATTTATGGAAAAAATTTAGGGGTAAAAAATTAAGGGGATTGTAGGGGACGGTGTATCGTAATTTTATGATGTTAGTATATTAATACATTTCCAACTTCGATAATTCTACACATCATGGATTGCCCCGTACATTTGCCCTTTAAACTTAGAACGATAGAAAAATGTTTTTGACAAACGTCGCTGCGTCTGCTGACCAACGGCCGCGACCGGCGTGCCGGTATTCGTATATGTCCTACATCACTAGCGCTCTATGGCCTGTGGCATACTTCACACATCGCAGATTTCCCCATTTGCCCTTAAACCGGAACTGTGGAAAAATGTTTTCGACAAGCGTCTCTGCGTCTGCTGTCTGATATCATGACTGACGCTCTGCCACGTCTGAAGCAGATATTGTGGAGACGCGACGTGACTTCTCCAGATGTAAAGTACTTCGGGTAGGGCAGGGAAATAATCTTATGGACTATTTGTATTTACCTGTTTGACAGACTTGATCCGTTTATTTTCTCTGTTATATTGACGAAATTGACTTTTTTCTCAAAGGGTCCAACTTAAAAATGCTGTCTTAGGCGGTCCGACAAAAGACTGCCAACATTGGACGGCTGTTTCAGGATTTTTTCACTCATCAGCAAATCAGGAGCGCGGAAAAAAAGTCCAGTCGGAAAATTTCCCTTACGAATGCGAAGTTTTCGCCTTATCTGGTTAGCGTTGAAATAGCCTGCAAAAAACCGGATTTAAGTTTCTCTCTAAGTAACGAGTTTAATCTCAACGATTCGATTTTTACTTCCTAAACCTTGATTCTGCCCCACTCGCCCCTAGCTACCCGGCTCCGAACGACCAAACGAACGAACGGCATTTGTTTTTATTGAGCGTGGTGCTCTGCCGGGGCGTCAAATTGATATCGGAAACTGGTATTATCCGGCTCATAAATCCAGACCCTCAGCTCCCTTTAGACCCTTCCGTCTGCCCTCCCCTGTGCTCCATGGCCACCGTCGATAATGCCCTACAATCAATCGGAAGCTTGTTTAGCTTGTATTAGCCGCTCTTACAGGGGGTTGCATGGAGATAGGGACAATTGGAGACGTGATTAGGGTGCTTCTGATCTCTGAAGAATGGGTTTTCTTCCTTGGGGTGATGTGGTTAACGGCTTGCACTAGACTTGCTTAGGAGATGGTTCACGATCATCTACTGCGACTCTCCGACAAAGTATTCGACGTCCACAACGACCAGAGCATAGGTCACTCACAACCCCATCACAATAGCTCCCAACATTAACCTTCTTTACAAAAACGAAAATTGCACTTTGGCCTTTCCCATCCCAAACCTCCTTATTCCCTAAAGAGGTGACATATTTCGAAATTTAGATTTTGGCCTTTTTCTCCACCACCACTGGACCGATTTTCAATAACATCCCTTCACACCCCTACCCGTAGGTCTGCCTATCTGGCAACGCCGCGTCGTCTCTCCCCACTATCTGAATATGATGCATCACACGCGGCAGAGCGCCCATAGGGTACCAGTCATGCAAGACACATACGAACATCGGCACGCCGGCCGCCACAACCTCCCACTTAATTTTTATTATTTTCTGAGGCTACACAGCTACACATGGTTTTTCGTGATATACACGTCATATAAGATTAAAATAAATAAAATACTTTACACATAACTAACTAACCGAATTAAAAAGTAGAAAACAATTTTTAATAACAAAGAGTTCACATTACAGTAGTAGATGGTCAAACAAACAATCATAATTAATGACCTCAAAATAAAATTATAAAAAGATTTATTAATAGAATAATTCAAATATTATTTGGAGAGTTTTTCCGTTCCTATCAACACTTTCGATTGAATCCCAAAAAACACGTTTTCTCACTCTTTGTTGTCAAATAAAAAGTGTTCCCACAAAAATTGGTGTACCCATTTTATGCGTCCATGTTTTGAATACCCTCTTGAACAACTTGCAGCAATAAAACCAGACTTTACAATTATTATTTCGCAAACCAGGGGTTTCGTCTAATATGATTAGACTAGTGTCCATTTTAAAGCTTTGGCATAGGGAGTAGAGCTTCAGACTCATAAACCTTCAGATGATGAACTGGGCTGTAGTCAGTCAAACACTTTACATTTTAAAAATGCTTGGAAAGACAGATTACCAGCGTATAATTCCACTCCATAATAACCTTAACACGATTTTATCGGTCCGAACAAAAGGCGAGGGTAACAGGTAAACGGACGATTTCAGAGAAATATCACAAACAAAACAAACCATTACCGAGCTTTATATGGTGGAAATGATATATATGACGTATGTCAGATTAGTATCTCCCTTGGAGAGCAGGTGGATTGGATACCTCTTGCCCTTTTTGTCCTGAATGGAATCAAATTTTTGAATACTTTTATTAATGTGATTTGAAAGAGTGCAAGATGGATGAGATGAGAATACGAGGGTCATCCGTAAAGATTTGCAGACAGGTTATGTCAGTACAGACTCATACCATCTGCTGTTGCAGGTCGACCAAGACAATGTTTCTATAACCCCCAGTTTATTCCAGTCCAGTGGATTGCACAAATATTCGCACAAATTGCTTACAACGTTTGATAAGTAGAGGTTATTAAAACATTTGATCAACAATGCATAGATTCCTTCAAGCCATGTAGGTAGGATATTTTTTTTTTAGTTTAGTAGTGGTATTTATTTTAGCTTATTTCACTAGACTATTTCAGACTATTTTAAGAAATTCAAGTTATAGCTGATATACGAGGAGGTACCCAAAAATAACCGGAATAGCATTGTAGTGGGCGGAGCTTGTGTAGGACACATTTCTGCCTCTAGAGGCGGATAGCGCAACTCATTACCAGTTCAATGCCACCTGAGTTGTCGATCTGGCTTGTTTCGTTCCTCTGTAGTCATTTTTTTGCTAGACCTGTTTGCTGCTTGTTTCGTTTTTTTTACGAAGGCAAGCTTCAGTGAGCAACGTGCAGCTGTGAAATTTTGCTTTCTAATTGGTAAAAATGCTGCTGAAACATCAAACACATCATCACATGACACCCTGCGAAAGCGTCCATAAAAAGTATTTTCCATGATTATCAGTTTGTTATCGTCCATCTAAAATATGCCTAAAAATATGAGTATCTCGAGCATTGGATCTGCATACGTACTCATTGTAATACGCAAAACTGTATCATTAAAACATCACCTACCTTCCAGTTTTGGTGATGATCATCTCCGTCCCCAGATCATGAAACTTGTCCCACAAGTCCTTCGTCTCCAAGTGACACTCAACCCCAAGCAGCTCTTCGCAATTGCAAAGCACCTTCTTAGGTCCTTTCTCAACCACATCGTCGGGGGTGTCTCTGTCCCCTTCGGAGCCGCATTCTGAGGCTGCTGGACTCCGCCTGGACGGTTTGGAGGCCTTAGGGGGCCTAGGGGAAGAGGCTGACTCACCGTCGGAGCACTCTTCGACGTCTACTTCGACGTCGTCGTCGTCTACGTCTACCAAGGGGTCGAGAGGGTCGAGGTCTTCGGTAGCGCAGGGTGAGCTCAGGCGGGATAAAGGTCCTGGAAGAAGTATAATCCTAGATAATATCAGGATTTAACAGACTTGGAACGGTTTGGGTGGATAATATAGGCCGTCAAGATGTTTACTCACAAACTTGTCCAAAAGTTTTCTATGCTCTGAATCCAAATCCCTGGTCTAAAACTCCCAATTGGCTCTAGTTTCCGAGATATCCAAGTTCAAAAACAGCCATGTTTGTTTCAAAAATTGCATGTTGTTATTTGTCACGTGTCAAAATCACGTAACCTTTTTTTTTCTATTTATCACTTATCAGTAATTTGAATTTCTCCTCATTGATAATAGAGTGCCCATTCCTAGGCCAAACCCCTGTTCAAAGACATTCTTTTTGCAAATTTAATAGTTTATTGATTGTGTAATTTCACTCGTATTATATCTTTCTTTCTCAGCGATTCAGTATGGGGTTGACGATCAGCAAAAAACTCTGCAGTTTTTTTCCGTTAGTTCACATCAGGGTTTTTTCAAGGGGATGGGTTCCAATTTGCAAAACTGCACCGATGCAACTGACTGGGTGAGAAAAAACGAGGATTTTCTTATGTTTCGCTGGGGGTCAAAATCCCATAAAAAATTGAAGTCGTAGCACTCAAAATAACTAAAGTTAAGTCACACAACAAAAAAGAAAAGGGTGCTAGTCTATGAATGGGCGCTTGGGGCCTAATATCCCAGAGTCCGGAGAACGACAAAAAGACCCCTGCACCACGACCTCAACGGAAGCTGAAAAGCGAATCACAGAATACGTAACGTTCTAGAGGAAGGAATCTTAAGTGGCCTTGAAGAGTTTTTTGCTGATCGTCAACACCATACTGAATCGTTGAGAAAGAAAGATATAATACGAGTGAAATTACACAATCAATAACTCTATTAAATTTGCAAAAAGAAAATCATTGAAAAGGGGTTTGGCTCTATTTTATCAATGAGGAGAAATTCAAATTACTGATAAGTGATAAATAGAAAAAAAGGTTACGTGATTTTGGTACGTGACATATTGCCATTTTTTCTCCACTACAAGATGGCGTAGTAAAATTTTCCCACTTTCAGCACCAACTTTGCTTTTTCACATGAACACATTATTGGAATTTTGTACATTTAAATGATTTTCCAGTCCTACCCGAATTCGTATTTCCCCTTTGGCCATGAATTTGTTGTTGGAACTAAAATTATATATATGAGATATTGCACTTTGATTTTCATTTTTCTGACCCAGATCGGTTCTGCTTTAGAAAGTATGTAATTCATTTTTTTTTTAAATATGCGATCGAAAGTAAGAACATTGTACTCGGCCTGGACAGCGTAGACTGACTTGTGGTTTGAATGTTTTTGTGTTGAGCATTTATGGGTTTCCTAGTTGGCAGTTCATAATTAAGTATAAACTTGTTATTACATTTTTGATGTATTATAATCCAAACAACAACTTTGATGCACATGTAGTGTCAAATATAAAGAAATTCAGAAAAATGAAATTCGCAAACTGCTGTATCTCAGCGACAAAGCACAACGCTTGTACTGTGAGATGATATCGGTTTTTTATCAAGAATACCTAACACCTAACCTAAAATGTAGGCAAAATTCTATATTCTTGTCATTTTAGGTTAGGATATCTCGTTAGAATCAGTTGAGAGATTTGGATCACGAATCCGGATTCAGCGCATCGAAAATATCCGGGAAATTGTACTCTGGTTTCTGAAAAAGAAGGTCGGCTCACTTTTGTCGGCCTATGTAATTAGAAGCACCTACCGTATTCTCTAAACTATGATACGTCTAAGCCTCGAAAAGATATTGGTACCGAAACCAAAGTCTTACACAATTTTTTTTAATATTTTCACTCAAATTCCCAATCTCGTAAACTCGCAAAAACTGTGAAATCTTGAAAACTTTCATTGCGTATGTAAGATGAAATTTGTTGCAATTTAGGTCCCCTATCGCGCCTTGGAACGAATACGACAAATTATCAGTAGCCCATGTCAAAGAGCAAATTTTGTTCGGCCAAAGAATCATATTTTGCTTTTCCATATACAGGGTGTTTCAGTTTATTGTTGCATAACTTTAAGATTCGATAGAACTTTCAAAATTAATGCATAAAGCCTATATAAACATGGGTCGAAAAATGCGTGGCTTCCGAAATACAGGGTGTTTAAATTTACTTTCTAAAATAGTTTTTTTAAATATTTCGAACCATAGTTTTACTGTAGCCGCTAGAGGGCGCTCTCTACTGTACCTGTAGTGTATTAAAATGACCGAAAATTTTTTCTTAGTGCAATTTTTTGCTTTTTGAATAAAAAAACTGATTCTTCGCACTTTTCAACATAAAGAAGCTCTCTTGTGAATTTTCGTTATAGTTAGCCGTTTTTGAGATATTTCAATTTTTAAGGTTCGATGCATTTTTAATTATTTATGATAAAATAACGTTAAAAAGTCAGTATCTCGATAATTTTTAGAAGTAGGCTGTGCCTGCAAATATTTTTGAAATTGAAAGTATGCAGTTCGGGAAATAAATTTTCATCATGAATTTAGTGTGAACGTGTGGATTGGTATCTACCGTAATCGACTATTTGGACCCTACCTTTTGCCTGCAAGGTTAAATGCTGCGACCTTCTTGGAATTTTTAAAGGCTGAACATGCAAATATGTGGGATGATGTTATGTTAGATTTAAGAAGATTGGCCTGGTTCCAGCTTGATGGTTGTCCAGCTCATTATTCGATAATAGTTAGAAACTGGCTAGACGAAAATTATCCAGAAAGATGGATCGGCCGTGGAGGACCAGTCGCCTGGCCTCCACGATCCCCTGACCTAAATCCATTAGATTTCTTTGTATGGGGATTTCTAAAAGAAAAAGTGTACCAGACTCCCGTAACCACAAGAGATATGCTAATAGACAGAATCAGGAATGCATGTGATGAATATATTTGAATAATGCTATACCACGTTCGATCATTCGTAGATGTGAATTGTGTATTGAACAATTGGGTTTACATTTCGAGCAACTACTTTAGATTTTATATGTTTGTCCTAACTATCCAATAGCATTTTAGTTGTAAAAATTAATTTAATTTGTTAAAAATAATATTGGAAAATTAAACAAATTAATATTCTGTTTATTTGGGGTTAGGAATTATTGCTGTGTTTAAAAACACAATCTAAACGATCATCTTAATTACTTGTAATGCTCAAATCAAAAATGTAAAAAAATATTATTTTCCCATAAATAATTAAAAATGCATCGAACCTTAAAAATCGAAATAATCAAACACGGCTAACTATAACGAAAACTCACAGGAGAGCTTTTTTATGTTGAAAAGTGCGAAGAATCAGTTTTTTTATTCAAAAAGCAAAAAGCATGTATACCAATTTTCACTGTTATACATCAAATATTGTTCGAAATATTTAAAAAAAACTATTTTAGAAAGTAGATTTAAACACCCTGTATTTCGGAATCCACGCATTTTTCGACCCATGTTTATATACACTTTATGCATTAATTTTAAAAGTTCTATCGAATCTTGAAGTTATGCAACAATAAGCTGAAACGCCCTGTATAACACTAAGCCAGAAAATATGTATGAATTTGCGTTAGGTCCAGCATGTTTCTGACTATTGTCGTATGAAACATTGTTTCATGCTTTTTAGTAATCATCAGTACAATATAGGTTTAGTTGTATGGAAACAGTTGATGTAGAGCAAAACTTATGGGTCTAATGAGAAATTCAACGACGCCTTTAACTAGCTTCGTCGACCTCTATGTACGGTAGCCGGAAACTACAGTTTCCCGGCATCCATGGGCGCATGCAGGAGTTTTCCCCAGGGAGGGTAGCAAATTTTCTCACTGGGGGGTATCCTGAAAATCCGTGCCAAATATGCCGAATACTCAGTGGGATCCCGATGACAGTGTCCCTTTCTAAGAAGCCAGCCAGCCACATAGTCATGCTATTGTCACTCAGGGGAGTACCCACATCTCACCACCATTGACATACTGTGCAAAAGTTGCATAAACAAAACAAGGCTGAAAATTCAATGTCAATGGGGAATTTTAGGATGTATGTTTATATGAACTTTTTCGTTATTTTTGAGCGCCCTTTCTACTCTAGAAATATTGCCACGTTTTTCTTAAACGTATCTAAAAGAGCGTCAGAGCGCGGAGCCCAGTGTGGCACAATTATATCGTATTGGCACAAGAGTAGTTGAAGTTTCACTCTATGTAGCTATTCGGCAATCAAAAAAGTGCATGCCAAGTCTCCTAGAGATTCTACACCAATGGTCGTAGTCAAGTTTAGACACTAGGACATACTTTCAAAGCACTTTGTCTACAAATTACAAAGGCCATGCTCATAATTCAAATTAGCATACCACCAAATTAGAGGATTTACACGAACATTTGATCATTTCAATGTTGCATGTGAAAAAATACGGCAAGTTCTAGTTCGCACAGAACAACGTATAAACCGATGACGATTGTTTGTTATTACTATACTTATTAGTCTGCAATTAGCAAAAATATATGCGGGCAGACCCCTACAGTTGGAGGAATAAATTCTCATTATTAGTTTCGCAGTTTAAATTGTATACCTACACGCCTTTTACCATTTATGCTTTCTTCGTTATTTTCAATACATAAAATAAATAGGTTCTAGATGGATTGAAGTAACGTTTTGTATTATTTAAGAAGAAGCAATGACGTATCCTCAAGATCTCCAACCCTACATGTATGCTGATAAACAAATGTTCTCGATCCGCGTACTCCTGCCATAGATTCTCGGTTCGTACAGCTGTCACCAACCTGTCACTGATCGTGTCCAAGATCCCTCCACCGAAATTCCGTTCACTCTGCTACGGATAGACGGATTTTACACGGCCGGATCCCAGACACAGTCGCCTACAACTCACCGAGCACTGTACGAACAAACCTCTAATCTCACCTGTCGGCGTACCGGTCATGGTGATTAATCTATACGTACTGCAGCACACAAAACATGTACACGGAATGAACGA